AAAACACATATTTACCTTTAAAAAAAATATGAAAATTGCAATAAGCAGTTAGATAATTTTTCTTTAAGACAACTATGTGTTTTCTTTACACCAATTGATTCGTCTCATTATTCTGTGCATAAAAGTATTAAGGTATGATAATCGAAAAATGAATATTTCCCAAGATATTTTCTATTTTATGTCAAAATACTGCAAATTTGCAGCCTTATAACTCGAAAAATACTTAATGAAAAAATATTTTATTGTAGTGTTTTGGAAAGATCTTAAAGTCAGCTATAAAAGTATGCAAGAAAAAATATAGTGTTCCATTTAAGAAATTGAAGTTGACCGTCACGTAACCTTCAAATGGCTATTCAAGGTCAAATCAATGACACCATCTCATGTCCCCCTTGAAACCATACAACTTTTATCTGAAACATTTTTGTCTTAAACTTTTGAATTTTGAGAAATTTTAGTGCAAAGATTAAAATGGTTTACCCTGTATATAAATATATATATACATATATATATATATATATATATATATTTGTATGTATGTATGTATGTAGGTGTAATTTTATAAGAACATTCAAATAGACGTTTAAAATGCAATTTTTATTTTTATTTTTAATTTTTATTTTAATTTTTTTTTATTAAAATGCAATTCTCAATTTTTTTTATCTGAAAGATAATGCAATCCTTTGTTTATTTTTTCATGTATAATTGATAATTATTATTATAGTTTTTATAGTAGTTAGTGCCAGAGGCGGTCTATTCGTGTGCTGGTTTAAAAAATAATTCCAGAGGCGATCTATTCGTGTGCTGGTTGTTTTAAAACTGTAATTCCAGAGGCGATCTATTCGTGTGCTGGTTGTTTTAAAACTGTAATTCCAGAGGCGATCTATTCGTGTGCTGGTTGTTTTAAAACTGTAATTCCAGAGGCGATCTATTCGTGTGCTGGTTGTTTTAAAAAATAATTCCAGAGGCGATCTATTCGTGTGCTGGTTGTTTTAAAAAATAATTTCAGAGGCGATCTATTCGTGTGCTGGTTGTTTTAAAAAATAATTCCACAGGCGATCTATTCGTTTGCTGATAACTGTACAAAATATTTTACCCCAGATGCAGTTTGCATGTGCGCAAAATTCTCAGAAGCGATATTGCAATGTTGAAACTTTATAACTTATCATGTGATAGTGACTTTCACGTAATCTTTATGACTGTGCAAGGTCAACACTAATGGTACTATTTTATAGTTCCTTTGAAACCGTATAACTTTTGTTGTTTTATTATAAAATGCATTGAAACGAAGAGATATTAGGGGTAGTAAAAATGGGACACCTTGTATAAATACACACACACATACATATGTGTATATGTATGTGTAACAACCTGTGTATATATAATTTTTATATAATTATAAATTATATAAAATGGGACACCCTGTATATGTATGTGTGTGTCGATTGACAACTTTTTTATTGCGACATCTATAGAGTTTTGTCGATAATTATATTTAAAAAATCTTCATTATCGACCCTATCGGAGTTCGCCCGTGCATTTAGGATCCCCTTAAGGATCATTGCTCTCCTGCGTGACTTTATGTGCGTAATCGAATCGATACGTCATCCTGAGAAATGCGCAAATGATAAATGTTACTCTCGCGCGCTCGAGATTTCAGATTTTAAATCGATGAGCCTCGTATAAAAGGCAACTATCATACATATTCTCCATCTCACATAAGTATCAAAAAACATTTCGAAAAATAGATGATCATAATAGTAATAAAAATAGTAATGAAAAATCACACATTAGTTTAAATTATATAAAACTGTTAAAATTAAGTTTAATTAAATTTTCACTTTTTCGGATTGTCATTAAATTTAAATTAATTTAACTGTGTGATTTAAAAAAAAAAATATATATATATATATATATATATAATTTTAATGCATTTATAATTATAAATATATAATACTTTAGAAATATATATTGTTTCAAATTATATAATTAAATATAATTGAAATAAAAATAAAAAACATAATATTTAGTTTAAAATCAATAAATAAAAATATTTAAATAGCAAAGGGACATTTAGTCTCCATATATTATAAATCATACGAATTAAAAACAATTAATAATTAAAATTAGTATTATTTATCATTATATTAAAACAATAATAATTAGAATTGTATTAATTAAAATTTTCTATATATTCTACATACCTGTAACCATTTATAAAATAGTATAAAATATCAAGAGCTTAGAGCAATTCTTGAAAACTGACCTCGTGCACAGAGATTTATTTCCATTATCACATCGCACTGTTATAAGCTTGCAACATGTGTTGATTAAAGCTTCCCGACCGGCGATAGATCGATCACGAGGAGGCTCGATGACGAGAACGTCGACGGGATGAAGCGAAGATCCGGTACAATAATAAATAACGCGGATCCGGCGCCGAATTTATCGATCGCAATCGATCGATCTGCCGTCCGTGAATCTCCCCGTGTGGATTTTCAATTTGCACGGACCATGGGGGATCGCGTACGTTAATCCCGCGATTGATATTGCACTCGCGAACCTCCTCTGCTCGCAGAGCTAGTCGTGTCTCATCTAAAGAACTACAGATTTTTCGCGCGATATCGATTTTATTTCTTTCGATTTCTTAACGATTCTTCTGACTGTAAATTATACACTGAAAAAACATGTGTTAACTTGACTAAACCTTTCAACTAAATTACTATTTTGTTAATTGAATATATATTAATATTTAAGTCAATTATACATTTTGGTAGATTTAATATATCGTATTTAAATTAAATATTTTTGTATGTTCAATTAACAAAATAATATTTAGTTGAAAGGTTTAATCAAGCTAATCATTTTTTTCAGTGCATGCACTCTTAATGTTATTGGCATATTTGTTTCCATTTATAAAGAATTCTTTTTCAAACTATTAATAAATGTATATAATTCAAATTATACTTAATCGATTACATGTTTTAAATTAAATAAATAATTTGAAAAATAAATATATAATATTCGAATGTCAATCATAAATATCAAGTTAAATTTTAACTCCACTCAATATTATACTTAAAAAAAAATTGGTTCTCACTCTCAACACGATTTAAAGTCATTGCTTTCCTTTTATCGCGAGAGATTCGCGAGTTTTATACAAGTATGATTAATTCGTCATTAAATAAATACACATCTAAGCGCACCAGAACACACTTTTTGTGGGTTCGCTCGATCGATGATGGACAAAAATCGAAACTTGTGGCTCGTAGAGAAGCAACGTAAGATCCGGTTTTTTAGTTACAAAGCTATTAACGATGCTAACGAAGGATACATCTATAGACTGATCATTCTCTCTCCTTCTTTTCGCGCCGAGAGTCGCTTGCGTGTCCTCGATTGGCTCACAATTGCCATACTGCCCACGCTGATGCAGCGATGTTAACACGCACAGATCGTGCGAAGTGGACAGGCAATCGCACAAACATACGTGATCAGAAGGAAATATTACGGAGAGTGCGATGACCTCCCTTCGATCGACGCGGAGACTTCGTCGGCGATTCATTCCTTTCCAATGAGAAATTAATTTCGCACGCGAAAGAGAAGTTAAAGAAGTTATTTATCCGAAAATCATTCTTAATTTATGAATTCATAAATTTAGAGAAATTTATCGTTCTCTAATAAATCATTAAATTTTGTTCCTAATGTATATACAGTTTTTAACCATCAAAATGTATGGATATTAATTGCGTGTTTTTTAACACATTACCATTTTTTTATAGCAGCTGCTGGGTATCAAATATTTAAAACGATTTCCGAACACAAAAAAATTCTGACATATTTTAATACTTAAATTAATTTGACTTACCTAGATACTCGTTGACACAGAAGAGAGTTTAGGGGATCTTAATAAACATCTTTTAGAAGTCTGTTGTTTTTTCCTGTTTTATCGACAAAATGTGAGATTAGATAATCGTTAGATTTCATGTGTGCACGAAAATGTAGAATGAGTCGTTCTCGTTTATTAGGCTTCCAAATTGATATCTAAACATTCACTTATATTCCTCTAATTTCAGGTAAAAAAACAATCCGTATAGCCAAGAAATAGATTTATACTTTATTCAACCACACATTTTGTCAATAAAACAGAAAAAAAAACAACTTCTAAAAGATGTTTATTAAGATCCGCTTAAACTCTTAGAAGTTTAGAATCTCCTTAAACATCTGAAAATCACTGACTGTCCTTTATTCTCGTTCATAAATAAAAAAAATAAAGAAATCTTTCTAATAAATTTTCTTAAATCAGCGTTTGAATAAAATAATTCGTAATTCGACTTTGCTTTATTTTAGCGAGAATTTTGTTTAATATCGCGCTTTTCTTGAGCTGTATATATGATGCGATTTACCGCTTCAATGATTTGAATTTTTCCATCATTCGACAGCGTGCTGCGATAGCAATTTATTATTTTCCAAGCGACTTCAATGCGAGAAACTGGTCTCGCCGGACGAGATAACATCTACCTGATAGCTATCCTCGCGATTTCTTGTTGTCCGATCGTTGGCCAGCATTTCTTGAATCGAGCCTCGATTCATTAATAACTATACCGACCATCGGGACGCCCATTACTCTCGATTTAAACGAAGATTACTTTCAAAACGCGGATTAATAACAGATGACCGAAACTGAAGATCGCAGCTCGATCTACTAAAGGCAACTGCAGCCTTAATCGATCAATATAATCCAGCGACGACCGATTAAAGGATACATTTTTACCGAATTTATCTTCGCATAATTGGCAATTATGCAAACTTATAATGAAACGTTTTGTTGCATGAAAACGTTATTCGCCAATTCGCAATTCGATTAATATTTAACGAGAGAGAGAGAAAGGTGAAATGCACAAAATTGACACACAAATGTGAGAAAAGAAGCAATTGCGGAAGCAATATCGTGCAAACTATCATCAAGTGCAAAATGTAAGCGAGCAAAGGGATCAAATTCCTACCTTGTTCGCACTCATCAATATCCTCGGAGCAATCCAATCCCTTGTAGCCGGTGGCGCAGGAACAGGTGAAGGATCCATTGATAGGGCTGGTGTCGCAGATCGCGCCCTCGTGACACGGATTCGACGTGCAAGCGTCATCGAGATGGCAGAGCAGCCCTGCAAAAGAAAAACGAATTCCCTTTCTCATACACTTTTCTTCTTCAATTATATCAGACACAAAAAATATATCTTTTTACGATACAATTTTTATCGCAAAAGCATTTCTCAATATCTATATAATTAAATTATTTATAAAATAAATTTATATTTAATAAAAAATTATATGTATATAATTAAAAATTTATATAATAAATATATAATAAAAATGTTTTGTAAAACGTAATAAATGGGAAAAAATGTACGCCATACATATGCTAATAATTATGGATGGCCCACAGTGTATATATTTCCGATTCCTTTGAATTTATAAATTATGCGGCTGTACAAATTATTAGAAAAGATAATTAAGGAAATTGGCCCCGGCATCGTAAACTTAGGGCGGTGATACGAAATTGAGGAAACTGACCGTGGGATATAATTTTCCTTGGGAAGCGGCTCGCGTGTGTCGAACTTTTCTTTATGAGATTCGCTAACGGTACCAAAGTCCCCAGGACATTCATATATAAACCAGAGTAAGTGCATGCAGATGCAAGAGCACGCCCGCGACTAACTGTAAGTATATCTCTATACTACTATATGGACTGAAAAGCACGCCTGGAGGCAACAAGATCTCTGTACATTGCGTGTCCGTTAACTTTTCTGCGAGAATTCTATCTTTTTTTATAGTAAATAGGAAACTAAACTGCACAAAATCTCTGGTATCGCTTATATCGCATATTTAATTCCCGATAAAACTGCGAATTATTTATTTCATTTTGCAAAATTCATGAATAATTTATCCCCAAATATTTCGTCGAGATACAAAAAAATTTCTTGATCTTCCAGGTATTTTTATTTAAAATTCCAGATAAAATAAGAAAATTTGTAGATGCGATAACTAATCTGTCAGTCGAGTCTTGCAATATAAAATTATCAAAGGCACAATTTTTGAAACAAAATTCCCTAAAATATCAAAAAAATTCTCAGATTTTTCAAAATAAATAAAATTCCTGACAATTCCCAATTTTTCTGATTTTTCTAGAGTTGATACTCTATATTGACGAACTGCGATATACCTGCGGTTCGACAAGAATTGTCATCCTGGAAACGTCCAGCTTCCAGGAATGGACGACGAGATGTCTGGCGACGCGCGAAGAGTGGAATATACCTGTATTTGGCGATCGCCGGCGCGCGGGAATCGATCTGAAAACCCCGGTCTCTTCTATACACTCCCAGACTATTCGCTCCGCCGCGCGCGCGAAGTAAGGACAGAAACTCGTTTCCAGTCGCCAAGGTCGGCTTACGAAGCGGCGGAGAAGAAGAAGCCGGCCGGGTTAGGTCGGCCGGGGGCCCCCGGGAGTCTTCGGAATCTCGAGATTCCGAAGGACCCGTTCTACGCAGCAGAAAGAGAGAAGAGCACATCGGTGCAGATGCACCTGCCGATCGTTGCAGTTACAAGTCTTGTTTCCCGACCATACTCGGTACCGAGTTAATCACCTTCGTCCGCGACCTCGCCAAACTAAGCCTTCCTTCCACCTTCCTATATCTTTTATTCCCGGAATTTCTCTGGCTTCCGTCATATTTTCCAGGACCCATTAGATCCGACAATCGACGAAACTCATTAAAATTGGATGTGACTAGCGAAATTGCTTCCCATTTTTCCACTGATGAGTTACACCATCAAAAGTATTTCAGATACAAAATCAGGAAATTTACGTTAAATTGGAATTTTTATAATAAATATTGCAAAATTTTATATATCTTTTTATGTATCCCAAATATGGAGAAGATCTGGATCTGATTCCGGGAACTTCTCCGACTTCCGTCATATTTTCTAGGTCCCATTAGACCCGACAATCGATGAAACTCATTAGAATTGAATGTGACTAGCGAAATTGCTTCCCATTTTCCCACTGATGAGTTACCCCATCAAAAGTATTTCAGATACAAAATCAGGAAATTTACGTTAAATTGGACTTTTTATAATAAATATTGCAAAATTTTATATATCTTTTTATGTATCCCAAATGTGGAGAAGATCTGGATCCGGGGTTAAACTTCGAGTACACTCGGATACGCACATCAGAAAAGACATGCTAAGTTTAGGCATCAGAAAGGATCATCTCGAGAGTGGCTGATCCGGGAGAATTCCGTTTAATAATGGATAGCACACAAATATAACATTAATTAATACTTACCGGTCTTCCCGTAAGTGCACTGGCAGTAGAAGCTGCCGACGCGATCGATGCAGGTAGCGCCGTTGAAGCAGGCCGCACCTGCACAATCGTCGATGTTGACGCTGCAGTCCGGCCCGGTCCAGCCGTTCACACATATGCACGAATAACTGCCGTGCGAATTCGTACACGTGGCCCCGTTGTGGCATAAGGACGGCCTTACGGAGCACTCGTCCACGTCCAGCTCGCATTGCGTGCCCGTGAAGGCCGCGGGACAGAGGCAAGAGTACTCGTTCACCCTGTCCACGCACGTGGCGCCATTTTGACAGAGATTACCCGGGCAGTCGTCAATATTTTCCTCGCAGTGTACACCTTGGAAACCTGAAACACCAAGAGTTCATAGTCCATTTTAGCCTCCATTTGTACTCAAAATTATCTAAATCTTAAAATAAGCTGTAATAAGCTATTTAGAAATTTAAAAAGCTGACATTTTAAAATCATGTATGAAAAGGGCTGACATTAGGCACAACTTGTTTTTTTACTTTTTAATTATTTAATTAGATATAATAGATTTTTATTATTTATTGTAGATTATTATTGTTATAAAATTATTATAGATTTAATTATGTAAATATAAATTAAAATCGATCCTTGACAGATAATATCACGTGAGTCACGTGGGTATGTCAAACGACGAATAGGTGTATGAAATAATTATATTAGAATTAATTATAAAGGAAATCGAGATCTCTCGTCGAATGATAACACGATGAGGCGACGCATTATGATTTAAATAATTAATCTATCCTCAACGAGACCGAGATCACATGGGTACCTATAATCGCGCTCTCAATCGCCATAATTCGCTTCTATTGCTCGGTCACATCCGCGATGCTCGGAATGCATTTGCATAACTGCGATTCGCGGAGATAATCGCGGCGCTATTAATAATCGTAACCGCGCGCGGCAATAATTTCTAATTTCTAAGCGTTTAACGAGAGGATCGAGTGGAAAGAAAGACACGATTTTTTTTAAATAAAGGGAGTTTATGGGCGCGAAAAATCAAGACGTCGCGTCGCTTCTATTTGAATTTGTGTGCCTCGATCATCTCGATAAAGACGGCTCGGACAAAAAGAGATCAGCTGACACGCCGAAAGAGGATGTATCAAGCGACGAGCTGACTTTCGATAACCGTGAAAGATCGACGGGCAGATTTCTTCCGATCGAGTCGCAAGAAATGTAAGCAAATAGAGGCAGAATAGAGGAGTCTGAGAGAAAAAAGGAGAAATCGTGTCGTCGCTTTGTATAGGTAAATTTTTACTCTGCACTCTTTTTAAATTGCAATTCTTCATTATCTCGTATTTTGCTCGTCAAATGTACGCGAAAGAAATGCGCGCGATGCAAAATTTCCATTGACAGTCATCTAGAATTGACATGCATGATGCGATTTTTATTCGTGATATATTATGTTGAATAAAAATCGTTGAATAAAAATTTAAAAAAATTTATATAGGATTTAGAAGAACTGGCTAGCTGTAGCTATGGAAAAAAAATTCTCGAGAAAGAGAGAAAGATCGATGGAGATCAATGAAGGATCGGTAAAATCGACCTTGCATGACGCTCGATTATCCGCACATTATAAACCTTTATTCATTCGCCGTACTTTGCTTTCTGCTCTCATTCTGCCAGGCAAAACAAACATTTGGACGTGAAGCGACTAATGGATTCGCGATGGTCCGTCGTGACTTCAATCTTGCATTACGTGTATATCATTACGCAAATTTTTTGGCAGAATATATATTTTCATGAAAAAAAATTTTAATATATTCGCGTACACATATATTATTTCAAAACACCGTTGATAGAGATAATTTTAAAAAATAAGATTTTAATATCCCTTATAATGCGAGATTTAATTAAATTTAAGAGGATGCTGCCGTTGTTCTATTTACCGACTTTAAATTAAGTTAAGTTAGGTTCACTTTTTATTTTAATCCAATTACGAATCTTTTAATACAGGCTTTTAATCTCATTTTTATTACTTCTGTATTATTCTTTCATGTCATCTCTATTGGGAGCGCCATATTTTGTGCGCAAATAAACTACAGAACTTTTGTATTAAATAAGTATTGTTATGAGCTGATGCAAGAGACCGATAAAAAACTGTAATAACTTTTATTTTTTTATACGAAATTACAACGTTCATTATTATCAGTACTTGAATTGTGGAGAAGGATTTTTCAATCTGTACAGCCAATAAAAAGAAAAGCACTTGAACTCAAAGTCAGTAAAACAGTCATGGTCAGCATCCCCTTAAGATTAAATTTTATATATATATATATATATATATATATATATATATTCTTGAATAATTATTAAAAGTTATTAGAGATAAAATTTTGTCTAAACAATTATTATTAATACGTAAAACAAGAATAAACACATGAGCAAATCTTGATATATCTCATGCATCTTAGACGATATAAAAGAAATACAATTCTCTTTCTTTCTCGACACCCGCCCTTATCTACCGGTTATCAGCTATTGCCCTGTGATACATACGTGATCATGCAGCACAGTTAGGATCTAATGGCGCGCATAATTTATACCTCATAGAACATCCGACTATATAGTCGCTTCCCGCGGCTGTATAACACTGCGACATGAGTTAGAGCCGTAATAGTAGTAAAAACGCAGAAATCCCTGTAGGCCCCGTGACGTTATTATACTAGAATCCCGCGAAAGATGCCTGTGGCATTAATATCACAGCGACGCGAAAGTAAATCGATCCGCCAGGAAGCGATTCACACACACAGCTAATTTTTCAAAATTATTTTTCCTTTTTTTTAAATTGTATTATCCCCTTGTAGACTTTATATTTTTTTTCATTACGATAATTGATAAGTATTCTCGATTACTATTTCATGATAATATTGATTAATGGATTAATTGTTCCTTGTCAATATAGACAGATACAAATTAGAACTATTAATTCTCACGATGATCAAACCTGAGTTATTTAACTCTCATTTCTTATTCAGAATTTTGAAAGAATTTTACACAATTTCTCACAGATAAATATCGTATAATAGAGGAATTTCCAGGCGATATCGATTTCTCGCAAAGTGTGCACATATGGAAGGTTTCAGGTTGGAATTTTTGTTGAGATTCAGACGAGAAACCTTTTACGAAGGGCTTCTTCCCTTCTCGAGTTACCGTATCAGGAAAGACACATCGCTTACATCCTCTCAAGCAAAGTGAAATTTCCGTGATTTTAAAATAATATTATTTTCCAAAGCAGTAAAAGTCTCGATCATGAGTAACAGCGCGAATTTTTGCAAAAAAAATAATAAAAATATATAATGTCAGATAATAGTATATTGTGTATCAAGTGCGGAAAGTTAACAATTGGTCACGAGTGCGGCTTTAGCCGTGGGCAATGACTTTGAACGCGGCTTATTCACTCACCGCGTCGCCGCTAGATGGCGGCGTCGGAAATCGGCTGCTTTCCGCACAGAAAACACGCACACAAAGTGCCACTTTGCCTGCACGTGTAATACAAAAAAATATATCTGACGTATAAAAATCATTCTAACACATATAGAAAAAAAAAATATTTTTGCACCGCAGAATTGTGGGATACTCGAAAGTATTTTCTCGCGTGCGTAACATACGTTGGCAATTCTTTCCTCTCGCGATAACGCAATTACAATATTTCGTTCGCTCGGGGTCTTTTTCCTCGGGGGAGAAAGAAGAGAAGCCTCGTTGCAAGAACAAAATTGCAGTGGCTCGGCGGTTCGCGATGGCACATTCCTTTTCTCGTGACTGCATTTCCCCCTGAGGAGGTACTCACTCCTTCTTCTTCTTCTTCTTCTTCTTCTTCTCCCTCAGCCCTCTATATTTCTTCCCTCCCTTTTTCGCTCCGCGCGCATCATCTCCTCCTCCTCCTCCTCCTCTCTCTCTCTCTCTGCCATACGAATATTGGCTGCCGAGTTTTTGAGTGAGAGGGCATAATTAAACGGCGGACATCAAAAGAGCGGCATTCAACGGAATCTCATATTCCGATATAAAGTCGATCGATCCGCCGATCGGTCGCGCTCTCGTGACAGAAAAGGGAGCGCGCGAGCGGGAACGCGAGGACGATGCACCGAAAAACGTCGGGTTGCTCGAGGGGGACCAAAAAGGGAGGTCGCATTTGAGGACCTTCGAGACCAAATGATTAGGTTAGGTAGTCAGCCGAGCGGTAGCGGAGAAGGGGGCAAAGTGGGGCCGTCCGGGCCCCCACGACGAATCGATTCCCGTTAATATCGATACCAGCGGCGCGAACAAAAGCGACGGCGCCTCCTTTACCTGAGGAATCGACCACGCGAGTATTTACACGTCCATTTGTTTCGCACTCGCGCGTTCTTTTTACTTTGTATTCTCTCTCGCGCTCGTCTTCGATCCCCACTCTATTTTTTTTCTCTACATGTTACTGTTGTTCGTCGGACAGCCGCGGAACATCGACAAGAAATCAACCGGCGCCCCATCTACAGTCTCTCTGCAGTTTTTCGCCGATCGATCGATCGAGCAAACATGTTTTTTTTGAGCTGCGCAAACAGGAGAGAGAAGAGGGCAGCGATTAAAATTTATACCTCATCAATATATGGTGTTTCCCATTCATTCTTTATGCTACATTTTGTTGTATAATGAATTCGTATTCACGTAAATGTGTTTTCTATATAAAAATACACTTTAATATTCTAAATTTTTGACAAATATTAATTATGAAAATATAAGGAAGAAATAATTGTCGTTATTATACGCATATATGTGTACGAAAAAATAATAAAATAAAATTATAAAAATGAGACAAATTCAAATACCATGTTTTTATCTCTTTTTAAGCAAGGTATAAACATATTAGTACAATTCTCGGCGCTTTTCGCACACACGCAATATATTTCGCAAAGGTATACGAGTATCCAAGAAGGGTGCCCGAGCTAATGACGCGAGAGCTGATTTCCATAAGGTGTACGACCCTCCTCTTCCTGGAAATCCAACCCCCCGAAGGCAAGACTTATCGTGCACCACGGACAACATAATGCAAAGGTCCAGCGATGTCCGCAGTTAAAGAGGGAGGTTAGGTTCGCGCGGAGAAAAAAAAGAACAGCGCGAGAATCATCTACCGTTCGCGACCAGAGAGAGAAGCGCGTAGGTGCGTGAGACAAGGACGGAGAAGCTCCCGCCGCTGCTTATAAATCAACCTGGATGAACCCCCATAATTGCAATTGTCCATTGGACCTCACCCTAGATCGGAGCGATCGTTGCAACCGCGCGCGCGCGCACGTGTGTGTGTGTGTGTGTCGAGCCGGAACTTATCCGACGAGGATACGTGTATC